TTTCCCTACCGTCCCTGTAAGGCCAAGGCCCTTAATGGCTAGAGGAAGCAGCAGTGGGCATGGCAGCAGAAGATCCATATTGGAACCTTAGCCACCACTAACTTGATGTGTGACTTTGGACATGATGTGGCCCTCTCTGAGCCCCAGTATTAATGAAAGACAGAGGAGGTTAATAATGCCTGCCTATCTCGCAGGCTGCTGCAAAGACTGAATGAGATAACTGTCTGATGCACCAGGGCCGGGGAGGTCTGGCACACTGGAGGTGGGCAGTAAGTGTTCATTCATCCACCTGCCTGCCCACCCCCACCCCACACACAGCAGAAAGCCAGAGACAGCACCGTGCACCTTCCATGGGAGACAGACTGGGCGCTCAGACATCATCCCACCCAAGGAACCAGGTGGTGTATGCTTGGTCCTCGGGTGGGGCATGGGGGTTCCTTGGGTTCCCAGACTTTCTTCTGCTCTGAAAAATACCATCAGTGGAGCAGCACAAGAAGGAAGGGAAATTGGGTTGGTGGTAGGAGGATAGGATTCTCTTATGTGTCTCTCACAGGTTGTTCTGAGGGTTCCCAGGCCACTCTGGAGTCTGTCCAGCAACTTCAGGTAGAGTCACTCATGGGCAGGGGCTGTCTGCTCAGGGACCGCCGGGCACTGCTTGTTGTCAACGATGCTCTGTCAGCAGCAGGCTAGACTGCCAAGACCACTCAGCAGAGGGAGGCTTTCCCCAGAGGTGCCCAAACTCTGGCATGACAGACAAACCCTAAAGGAACCCTGCTTTTGGCGGTTAACAGGTATTCCCTCTGGGTCTGCAGGTGAGGGAGGACCTAGACCTCCGCCTGTGGCCCCAAAGGAGGCCATCACGGCCCATACTTGGAGTGTGATCCCAGCTGTCGTGGGGCAGGAAAAGCATCTCCCGGAAGAGCCAAACTGACCTGCCTGGGAGAAAAGGGGCAGATTCCAGCAAATGTCGGCCAGACAACAGAGGGGCCTAGGAGCTGAAGGAGGTGCCCCACAGAGCTGGGAAGGGGGTCCAAACTGTCAATTCAAATGGAGCAGTGAACTAACTGTCAGTGGGGTGCCGCAGGTGGTGTGTCGTCCGGAAGTTATCGACTCAAATTCCTCATCCTTTGGCGGTGGCACCATACTCCTGGTGGTCCCAGGAGGTTCTGATTCCCACTCGCTCCAGCAGTGGAAAGCTGCCCAGGACCAGACGTTTTGTCCCCGGGCTGGGTTGTCCCTTCCGAGTGACGGGAGGGACCTGAGGCAACCCAAGGTAAGCTGGGAGAGACACAGGCTCTGGAAGGTTGTTTTCTCACCTCCAGAGCTGGGATATGATTGCCATTTAGGTGACACCAGAGCCCAGCCATGGGGCCAGCTCGAGGCTTAGTGAGGGTGGGACCCTGCCTGTTCCAGAGATGATGGCAGGCCCCCAGGAAAGATGGACGCCAGCAGCCTTATGGGAGGCTCCCTTCACTTACGAGCCTGCCCTCCAGACACCCGTCCCCAGCTGAGACCCCAGGCGTGGAGGAAGAGGTGGCCCGTTGTCTGGGTCTCCCTGGGGTGTGGGCATCATGGGGTCACCTTGGGGCATGAACCCCAAAGCTCTGCTACAAGTTGTACTGAAGGTTCGGGTGTCCTCAGGAGGGCAGGGGCCTTGGGCGTGGTCTTGCGGCTCTTCCTAAGTCTCAATGTGCTGTCACATTAGCCCAGTCAGGGAAACTGTCCAAGTCAAATATGACCCGTCCCCAGGTGTTGACGGCCAAAAATACACAGGTGATTCCAATGACGTTCATTATTAGTCCTGTTTTCATCTGGAAAAAAACAGGGTCAGAGTCAGCACCCTCGGGTCTGCCAGGCTGTCAGAACAAAGGTGAATGGGCCTTGGGAACCAGCATTCTGGGAGAAGGGAACAAAGGCTGTTTGCTGGGCCTCCTGTCCCCAGGCCAGGCCCTGTGCTCACCCCACCCCCCAGGCAGAGCAACTTCGTGTCCAGTAAGAAGCACCACTGCTAAAGCAGCCTGGGAAACAGGCAGGACAGGTGGGCTCTTCAGGCCCAATGGGACGTTTGGAAAACTGGGCCTCAGGGAGGCGAGGGAGTGACTGGAGAGGCCCAGGTCTGACTCCAGGTCCAGCGCTCACCCCAGCACCTTCACCATCCCACAGGCACGTGCTGGCCTTTCTAGGGCATGCTCTGCGTGCTTTGGGTGCTCACTAACCATTGCTTTCAAACCCTGTGGCAGATTTTTCACTGGGGATTGGAATTGAGTTTGCAATTCCTGGTTTCTGGGACCCACACTCTGTGTGAGAATGCTCCATGGAGTCCCAAAGATAGCCAGCGGAGGCTCTGAGTTAACTAACACCTGATTGGGCCGAGGGAGGGACCCGCCTTCCTGGCCTCCCCTGTTTGCCCACTTGCCTCTCCCCATTCCGGAGCTGCAGAGCCGCCCTCCTCCCACTGGAGGCTGGGATAAAGCCAAAGCAGAACTGAAGAGTTCCTCCTTCGGCAGCATTTGTTTCCAAGGCAGCATCTGCTCCCAGGCAGTGGCGTCTCTCTCCCTGCCTGCTTCCATGTCTGTAGACACCTCTGTCAATCTCTCTGGCTGTCATTAACATTTCCCCTCATCTCAGCCTTGCCCCTCCTGACTGTCCTCATGGGTTCTTACTAGATTGTGAAGTCCATCTTGTCCATGTGGGACTCCCACCCTCACCCCTTCCAAGTGCTCAGTGAAGGCTCCCCTGGTGGCTGCTCGGGCACTTCCAGGTGGGAGATTCTGTAACCCACCTCTCAGCTTTGGGAGACAGAACAGTCTATGAAATAAGAGATCATGTCAAAAAAGAAGAAAAAAGCTGCATATAAATGCAAATAATGAGTTAGGTCTGGACATTTGGTCCCAAACTGTTTGACACCACAAGTCATTAATAAATGGGGCATCCCTCATGACAAAAGCATCATAGCTGATAGGAGTGAATAAAAGCGGCTGCGTTACCATGTCAGAAACCTTGAGGTGTCCATAGGAAAACACGATGGCATTAGGTGGAGTGGCCACGGGCAACATGAAGGCAAAGGATGAAGTCAGGGTACAGGGGATCATGATGTACAGCGGGTTGAGGCCAATGGAACGTGACTGGGGAAAAACACAGCACTACAACGTCACAGATGCAGAAAACAAAAGCTCCTGGGGACCATCACTCTAAAAAGCTTTTCCCTGATGTACTGTGTACATTCCCACGTCTGTGCCTTTGTCCTGCTGGCTCCTCTACCCTTTGCCACAGCTGGATGATAACTCTGCTGGACCCTGAAGGCTAAGCTTACCTCTGAACCCCCTCAATTCACTCAACATATACTTCTTGGGCACCTACTATGTGCCGGAGACCATGCTGGGCACTCCTGCAGCCCATGTGTGCACATGTCTGTCTGTCCTGACACAGAGAGAGCCTAGAGGGCAGGGACCACATCTCTCACCTGTGTGTGTGCCTCTGTATGTATGTGTTTTTATACACATTTGGGATCATTTTGTGTATGAAATTTGGTATCCATCTGTTTACAGCTTAAAATTCAGCCACATCTAGCACAGAGTAGACAGATGCTCATAAATATTTGTTGAATGAATGAATGATATAATAATTTGTAATGTCTGTCAATATCAAAATTAATAATCTATCATGCAGATCTACTTGCACGTGAGAGCAGACACATATGCAGAGATGTTCAGTGCAATATTGTAACAGCAAAACACACAGGAAACAGACTCAACAGCCATCAACAGCAGGACGGTCAAATAAAATACATATATACAAACAATGGAATAGTTTGCAGCTGAAAAGAATTGAGTAGGTCTTATGTGCTAACAATGGAAGGATCTCCAAGATATATGATTAGATTTAATAAGGTGCAGAACAGGACCATGGAATAATGCCATTTGTTTAAAAGGAGAGTGTGTGTGTCTGTGTGTGCATGTGTAATACGTCCAGAAAGATACCTAAGAAATTAATAACAGGAGTTGTCTCTAGGGAGGAAGCTAGAGCGTAATGGTCTGTATACTCTTTGGTATTATTAGACATTTTCTGGCTATGTGTATGTATCACATTTGCAGCTTTGAAAAATTATGTGTTCCCATTTTATGAAATACCCTTCAGGACTGTGATTTTTTTTTTTAATGGCTTGATAGTATTACATTGTATGAATATATGATAACTTATTTCACCAATCTCTGCTATTATGGAAGTATTTTTATAACAAATAATTCTTTGATGTGCATCTTAATAATATAAGCTTGTAGGCATCTCTGATGATTTTCCTAAGACAGATTCCTGGACATAAAATTCCCAGAGTCCGGTGTAATCTCTTAGCAGTAGGGTTTTTTTAAATCCTTTTCATTTTATTTTCACAAACCTTATATCTTAAACCTTTCTATGCACAAAATATAAATATGTACATAATATTTTTTTTTACCAGTGGCCTTCAATTTTCTTTATTTTCACCACTATCAGGAAAGTATCTTAGCATATACTTTTAATATAGGGGGTTTTATTATAACATATATACATGTATCACTGTACTGATATATTCTAAACCATAGGAAAAAATAAATATTTTTTTTATTGGAAAAAACAAAAAATTTCCAGAGTCAAAGGGTATGAGCGGGTTTCAGGTTATGGTTCCCATGGGTAAACAGGTCTCTGAAAAGGCTGCGCCAGTTACACTCCTTCTAGGAGTAACTGAGAAGAACCAGTCTGCTTCCTGGCTTCCCCATGGTGTATGCACCCCATGTGCCTCTGTGACCCAGCTGGGGGGTCACCACCTTCCCCTTGCCTGCAGGTGGGTGCTGAGGCAGGAGTGTGAGGTCTTTGTGGAATCTAAGTCGGGGCTTCGGATTCTAGGAAAGCTTGTTTTCGAAGGGCCTGGCCACCCTCTCAGGTGAAGACCCCCATTTGACTAGTGTCTGGAGGTGACAAAGCCAGGCCTCTACTAGGGGAAGGAGTCCTCACTACGACACGACCAGCATCAGAAGACGTTCCTCGGCATCTTTTCGCCCTGGGCAGCCTGCTTAGGGGAGGGGGAGATGGGCCGCCTTGCTCTTTCTAACACTTCCATCTTCTCTTGGAATAAAAGGAGAAAATCACTTGGGTTTGCTTTTTATACACGTGGACACCCTGGCAACTGGAATGAAAATTTACCAACTTCAATCCTGTGTTGAGGCCTTTGTAAGTCTGTCCTCCCAACTCCAGAATGACAGCCCCAGCCTCTCCCCGACTCGTTTTACATCTATAGAGGGTTTTCATAGGCCTCATCCTACGTGACCCTCAGCACAAGAGTAGGGGAAAGAACTCGAGTGACGGGTTTGAGGATCCCACAACTTGAACTCAGGTCTTCTGACTCCGAACCTAGGGCTTTTTCTGTACCACCTTGAGGTTGGTACTGCCAAGTGATGAGTGACAAAAGGAAATGCAAGAGAAGGTCACAGTCGAGCTTCCTGTAAGCTCTGCTTTCTTCTTAGTCCCAATTCAAAAGCATGCTTGCCCACAGAACACAACTCTTTAGCCGGGCACTCAGCATCCCCATCCACCACCACCCACAACCTCTCTGGGCTCAGTGCCCACTGATGCCCAATCCCTGAGCTTGCCAAGCAAGGCTTCTGGGAGTTTTCAGTCATGCACTTCATTTCCTTTATGTGGGCTACTCCATCTTCCCAGAGCGTCCTCTCCCCTCCCACCATTCCCAGGCTCCATTTCCCCCAAGATCTCTTCCTGGTGGGTTCCAGCCAATGGTGTCCCCCTGTCCTGCAGGCCTCCTGCTCTCCTGTGCTATATTCTGAGAGACCCTCTATCATTCCCCCATGGCATCCTTGGTGTAAGCCCTGTCTCCCCAGCTTGAGAAATAATCTGTTACATTTATAAATAAATTTAGGGCACCTGGTTGTTGCTTAGCACTTTTGGTCAGCTTGGAGGATACAAAGAACCAGCGAAGCATTGAGCGCAGGCCCAGGGCCATCAAGGGCACACAAGTCTGTGTTGGAGCAGGGCTCAGGACCCAGGTCTCCAGAGCCTGGCCAGGCTTGGGCCCCTGATGTCACTGCCTGTCTAGGGACGCAGGATATGGTCAGCTTCCTATGAAATGATGACTAAGGCTCATCACCCCCAGCAGGGTTACTTACCATGGAGGCAAAGATGGGCAGGAACAGAGTGGTGGTAGCCACGTTGCTTGTGCATTCAGTGAGCACAGCAATGAGTGTGGATAAGATCAAGGTGATGGCTGCTGGGGACACGGCATGCAAGGGCTCCATCTGCTTCCCCATCCATTCTGATAGCCCCGAGGCCTGGGAAATACAGGGAGGGCAGTCACCACAGGGCTCGTGGCTCACAGTTCCTCCGGAGCCTGGAGGGACCTTCATCTGTCTCCAAAGAGCTCAGCCCATCCTTCACTTCCGATTCTCTCTCTCTGCGTACATTGCCATAGGTGATCTAATCCATACCCACAATTTCAACCTCCATCCTCACTCTGCTGTCTCCTAAATCCTCGTTTCCAGCCCAGCTGGTCTGCTGTCTGGATTTCCACCCAGATACCCCATAAGCGTGTCAGACCCAACATGCCCCAACCTGAATTCATCTTCTGCTCCCCCTGGGCTCCCCAGCCCAGTGACTAGACTCACCTAGTGTCCAACCTAGAAGGCTAGGGGGTCATCCTGGGGTCTCTGTCCCCCTTATTTCTTATGCCCAATCACCATGTCACCCAAAACATCTCATGTCCATCATCTCTCTGTCTCCCACAGTTCTTAAAGCTCAAGAGAGTGATTTGAGCCAGAAATTGGGAATTTAGATTTGGGGCTTTAGGCTAAGAATGGATTGTCCAGGGAGAGAATGAAACGTGAACAAAGAAGAAGCCAAGGACAGAACCTTTAGGAACACTCATATTTAAGGGAGAAGAGAGGAAAAGTCAACCAAGGAGGCAGGGCAGGAATAGTCAGAGTTAGAAGTAGACAGGAGAAAATGATGTCTTGGGGACCAAAGGAGGAAGGAGTTTCAAGAAGGAGACAGTGGTCCATGGAGTCCAGTGTTCTGAGCCTGTGTTAGATGAAGGCTATGGAGCATCTACTGGGTCTTCTCCAACCCCTGTCCGGCCTAGGCCTCCCTTTAGACATCCAAGAGATTTCTCCCAAGTGCAGATCTGACCAAGTTACTCTCTGGCCTCAACCCTTTAGACCTTCAGAATAAGGTCCACACTCCCTATCTTGACTCTCAGTGAAGTGGCTTCTGTGAGCCTCACCAGCCTTATCGTCTGCTGTTCCTCAGCTGGATACAACACGCTGATTTCTTTACTCATGTGTCACTTCTTTCTGAAATGCTCTTCCAAACATGCCCCCCTCTCTAGGCTGTGAAATCCTCAAGAACAGGGACGATATATCAATCTCCTCTGTAATTCCTGTGCCTGACCTAACACAGACATAATAGGAAGGTTTGATGACGAATGAATGAGTGAATGAGAGATGGATGGAGAGGTGACTAAATGGATGGATCTGTTCATCCAAATAATAGTTGTGTACCCACTATGTGCCAGGCTCTGTCCTAGATGCTGAGGAAACAGCAATAATAAGATAGACCAAGTCTATGTATTACGCTCTATTCCTGGATAGATGGAGATGAATGGATGGACAGAGGAGAGCAGCACCAAGCATCCTTCCCTCTGGCTTATTTCTTCCCTATCAGGGAAGCAGGGAGGTAAGAAAGTTGCATTTTTGGCTGTTTTCCCCCAAAAGCTCTTCCTCTCCTCCTACATACCTATAGCTAGAGAAAAAAAAATTTTAATGGCAACCATATCAACAAAGCTCAGCAGGA